GAAATGAAACTACTGCTTATTATCGTTTACTCATTTACTGTGTACTAAAATTATAACCAGCATAATAAAACGCGTAGGTACAGTTTAAATTTTTTTGCCCAAACAGATGACGGATGCAATGGAGTTTTTCGTTAGTATAATTGTCGCTTTAACGCTTGGTTTAAATGTTTTGGAATTGTGGAATTGAATTCTTGCATTTTTTTTAACAAGTTAAAAAGTAATCGTAAACGATTTACATAAAGCGCATTTCCACTTGCATTCATTTCCCATTTGTAAGATGCAACTTCTGTTAAAATCGTAAAATCCGGCCACAAATATGAAAGATAGCGTTGCACATGGGCAATCCATTTTTGACGTGCTACTTCAATTTCAGTTTATGAGAAGAATTTCATTTCAATGCTTTTCTAAATAAGAAAGTTGGAACTGCTCATGCGCAAACCCAAATTTTGAAACTAATGTTAGATTTTCCTTTGTTCCAAGCGCCTAAGTATCAAATTTCACATAAATGCTTCCATAGATAAAAAAGTTGGCATTGCGCATGCGCAAAATAAAATTTTGAAACTGGCCTTAGATTTTCCTTTATTCCAAGTGCCTATGTATCAAATTTCGTTTAAATTCTCCCATAAATAAAAAGTTGGCACTGCGCATGCGCAAAACCAGATTTTGAAATTGGCGTTTGATTTTCCTTTATTCCAACAGACAGACGACAGACAGCAATACAAAATTATAAACGATCTCTAGGATCGTTAATAAACGGCAAAATTATGGAACATGTAAAAAACGGTTTTTTGTTTTTTTTACAATAACTTTTTTTGTAAGCGGTACAGAAAAAATTCTTTCCTTGGTGCAACACTCGACACCATAACGAACCATATAGCGAAAAAAGTAGAACAATAGCTCTTACGATAAAGAACTAGTATCGTCGCAAAACGAGCGGACGGACGGACGGACAAAGTGGCCACAATAGCGCATTTTTTTATTTTTGTGGAAATGCGCTAAAAAGGAACCGTTAAATAGGAATTCATTAAGTTGACCGATTGCTTATGGTTGTCACATTTCTTTTGTCCTGTGTTAAAAAGTAACTCTTTTAGTCGAATTACCAAATTTTTTGTTTTTGAAAACGCTTAATTAATCCATTTTTATTAATTTCAGGATCGTAGTTGGGAGGGGGGGGGGGAGGGATTAATAACGTTATCTATCCGAAAGATTGATTGACCACAACTAACCATTTCAAATACACATTAACTGTTTCTTTCCCAAAGGTGCGTATTTTATAACTACTTGCAAAATGCGCGTAATATTTCTTTAATTTTGAAACATTTTTATGCTAGTTAGACATTTGAACGTTAAGATCCACTATCCAAATTCGTCATCATATAATCAACTATTGTAACTCCATTACGTTGCTAAAAATAAATGATACTTTCGCGTATCATTGTGGCAATTTACGTGTCATTTCTTAGCTGTCATTTTTTTCTAACGTTGGATTATTCACCTTTATTTGATGACATCCCTAGGGGTTTACAACACCAAAATAATCCCAACTTCCTGGCAAACTAAGTGCTGTGACATGTTTCAAACCATTACCATAATTAAATATCCTTCAAATTATTATAGTGTGATTAAACATATCCGTCTCTCCAATAATGTTGTCATTAAAATGAGGATGGTTATTGTTAACGTCATTCCGAAACAAATATTCGACAGGCGTTTAGGATGTTTATGATTTAGTAAAATAAATGGAAAGAAAAACATGTTTTCTAACGAGGTTAGCAAAAAAGTACGTATGTGTTATGGATCACTCGACGGCATTTGTTAACAAATGAACGAAGCTCACTTTCAGGCCAGCTTACTTTGATTAAATGTATCATTTCCGAAGGGAGTTGTAGAAAAACATCTGCCTCTGTCAAAATCCATCTGCATCTTCGATGTAAATAATTTCCACTATTCCATTTTGTTTTCCATATTTGACCAGCACTAGATAAATTAAATGTCTATGCAATTACAAAAAGTAATTTGATTTTTTTATTTTAATTTCTTCGGTGATTCAACTAGAAGCTGACTATTTACGGGACCAGGTTTATATTACTTGTGTCACTAAAAATACTTCCAAAAACGTATTAGAATTTAATTAATCGAACTCATAAAATATAGTAATTAAATTTGAGGAATTAATGAAATTGGAAAGAGAACCTAACGAGTGAGCTATTTTGATATTAAATACCTGTCAGATCAGATGTGATTAATGTGCAATTTTTGGGGCTGTGTTTAATGAACGTATTAGAGATACAACGATAAAATTCTCTGAGTCTTTGAGAATACATTATTTCTGTTTTTAATGCCTACCAACCAAAGGACAAACGCGGCCTCTTCCCCATTTCCACTCGATTTTCGTTAATTGGAAATAGAGTGTCTACCGGATCGTTATTAACGTCGAGAATTTTTTGTGCCACGATTTATCCTATATTTTACGTATAGCTAGTTTTTGTTTGTTTTCAACGTATTCTTTATCGACAGGTTTCTTTCATGTCCAACCTTTCAATATTTTAGGTTCAGTAAGCGCTATAGAGTGGAATAATGGCGAAACCTTCGGGACGGGACAAGTTTGTGCAAAATAAATTCCTCTATCGTAGTACCGCCTAACCACAAATTCACCGAATGCCTTTAGATAAAATGAAAAGAATTATGTAAAGGGCTTCTGTATGGATTTGAATTTTACACCTTAGCTGTGGCCACCTGCCTATATTCCAATTTAGAAACCAGGACAGTCTTTGGGCTAGGTGCTCTTCACCTATTTACTTATACTTAAAAGGATCGCTGTCGAGGATAAGAGTAAAGCTGTGCAATTCCAACCAAAACAACACAGGAATTCACAGATATTTTAAGGAAGTTCGACGCCCGCCGTTTTTAAAAGAAACAAATTGATGAATTCAATTATACGTAGGGAATTAACTACGTTGCCCTTGCACTGAATTGCGTTATTATAACGACATCAAAGAACAAAGCATTTCATGCATCTACTCCAAGTTATTTCCTTTGTGTTGAAATTTAATCAATAATTCACAATGGAGCGCGCGGTTTAATACATGTTTCGAAAATGTATATGAAATATGATCAAACAGCATTGAAAGGATCGCGTGGACGTTATGTGTTGGTCAGCGTCACCCATTGTTAATAAATAAAATGCGAGAGTCTTCGATAGCGTTTTTGAAAACAATTTCGTGAAAATTGCTACCGCAATATAATCTCAAGGGTGGAAGGGCATAAAATCGGAACAACAACAAACAGATTAAAACTGTCTGTTAGTCTGTTGCTGGTAAAAGGATTTACTGCGTGCATTAGCTAAAACAAGTGCTGTTTCTGTTGCAGTACTTTAAAGTCAAAATCGCTGGGCTAGTTTAGGACGTTCTTGCTTCTTCTACAAACCCTCTCGATTTAATTCCACCCGATTTTAGATGATTCTTTAATGTGGAAATGCACTTTTGTATAATGAACGATTATATCGTATTTGGAAGTGCTTTATTTTACAGGAGCGGTTGATAAGCTAAACATAATCATTTGGATAGATTACATTTTCAAAATTTCATTGATTACAATATCTATATTTGGAACTGATTGTACGATAAAGACAAGTTACAGCCCAGATTAAATATATTCAAGTGCATTTCTATGACCAAGCGTAATAATTTAAAAAAAATTAATAAGCACTCGGGGGCAATTTTGGTTGATTAGGTGGGAAGGGTTTTGGGAGATGTGTAGCAAATTTCGCTATTTCACACACATCACTTACAGGTTAGGTTCGGTATTATTATTTCTTGTTAATATGTACTCATATGTATCTTATATTCTGATTGTACCTAATCTTGTAGTGCATCAGCTTACTTGTTTTTTCTTTAAAAATCATTTTTTTTATATCTTGACTTATCTTGCATTTTGCGTTTGTAATATTATTTTCCTTCGAACGTTATAATTTTTTGTGTAGTGTTAAATTAAATTGTCGTTTATTGCGAATGTGTTTACCCCCTAAAGGGTGGTGACTTCCCTGACAGCAAACTATCGACCAATCGCTCTCATCTGTGTTCATACTTATACCAGGGTAAGTTTTTGGTTATTCTACAGAAATTCACAAGAAAAAGAGAAGCAAAAATATAACAACAGAAAGCGATCCGTATAACAGCGGCTAATTAGTCTAAGGAACATTATTAGTCTCCTTTTCCCAGAAACTGCAGGATCTAGGCGATGGGCACGTTTCAACATCCAGTCCCTAGAGGACCCATTGGATATATTTATCACATCCACATCCTTCAGAATGCCGTTAACACGTTCATTAGTAGATTTTTTCATGCCGTGGATAAGAAAACAGTTTCTTCTCGAGGATGATTCCAGAGAATCAACCTTATCATTAAGTTTGACAATCATTAATCTCGGCGATTGCAGATACTGTTTAACATGTTTTCAAAACATCTAGTTAAGGTTGCCGATCGTTTTTTACTTCAATACTTTTAGTAGTTTGTCCTTTTTAAAATCAACTAACGGGGAAAACCACTTATTATCCAATAATGTTACGTCCATATTGGCCGGACAGATACGTAAGGTCAGCAAGTATACAAAATATCAGCAGATGCACGCATTGTGTCTATCAATTGCATTTCGGAATGCACAATGGCTCATGTATTTTAAATAGAGACCACGAAGGCGGATAAGTACTATTTTGAAAAAGTTGCGAGGAGAACATTGGACACCTCTACTTCACGCGAGCTTCCATCCATGATGGTCTTCAGAATTGTGTTCTTCATACCCTCTAGTAAATGATTTCCTGAACGATGATAATAAGTGATTGCCGGATCTACGGCGCGATGATTTGCAATGATTATTAGTTCTTATTAGTAAATTACATCGAATCCAAATCTCATATTGAACTGAACCTTGTAAAAATGCCTAATAACGATATTAATAGATTACAGCTAAGGTAATATACGACTTATCTCTACAAGTCAAGTACCGCCCACCACCTTATAGGTATAATGTAGACGATTTCTGATTTATTGTGCTTCGTCTCTTCCAACTCAATTCGTGTAGTTTTTTTTCCTCTGTGACACATTCCCAACCGGTGACTTTTAGAGGTTGATTCTTCATGACCACAAAGTGAATTGCAAGATGAAGTCATCTTTCTTACCAAGCATAAAATCCTGAACGTTACGTCTAACAGAGGAATACGAGCAAGTTTGATCAATCCTTCCCCAATTGAGGAGCTAATGGTATTCATTTCCGGGAAAGGTGAATAAACGACCTTGCAATCCAGGAAAGGTATGCCTAACAGTAACGTGATTTCACATTCATTTAGCTTTTAGAAAAAAACACTTTTTCATTATTTCGCACTTGTTTGACGTTTGGTCGCTGTAGGTACTTATTCGGAGACGGATATTTATTGCCATGTGAACCCTAACGTAGTGGCACTATGAATGAAATACCAGGACGCAGTATTTTTAGAAAAAATTTGTAAAAATAAAACCGTCTACAAAGCTAAAAATTCCCTGGCCATCTTCCAAACTTTGACCGTTTGATCCCGCGTTGTATTTCATTAAATTGTATACGCCGCCCAATTATAGTTCTATATCATTTTCAACGTCGCTGCACTTGATCCCAATTGATAGAGGATAGGGAACAACTAATTATTAATTGAAAGTGTTTTGTCGAGTTTACTACTAACTGAGTAGGTTGATGCAATCTTTTCCATCATTGCAATACTCACATGATTACCATTTTTGCCCCCCTCTCTGCGTCAAGACCCTGAAACTAAGTTTTCTGCATAAATTAATTGACTTTTTGTCGACTAACGTTCTCTACTTCTAAGACACTCTTTATTTTTACACCTAATTTTTTTACGCAAACTGTAACCGCAGAGGAGGTATACGGAAACACCAAACGCCAAACCACAATACAGAATTACGCTTATTCATGACGAAATTGTAAAGTGAATTTCAACAGTCAGTTTGCGTGTTTTGGGGTTATGGGGTCCAGGAATTGGTAATTAAGAATCCTTACTTCCACAACAATGCGACCCTCTCCACTGATAATGTACGGATAACGCTTCAGTATTTATTAATCTGTAGTCAGTCACACTTGCAAATTGCGTTCGCTTTTTTAAAAAGAGCAAATGGATAAACAATATAGCTACAGTGGTTAGTAGGCAGAATGTAGTGAAAGTGTTGTAATTAATTCCATTCTTGTTGCAGCTGTCGCAATGAGTGAGCCGAAAGGACCAACAGTTCCTGGAAGATTTTCATCTACGTAAGTAACTATTTGTTATTTTGAAAGTATAATTAAACGGGGAGGTGTGGGGGATTTGAAAAACTTTAACAACGAAAAACAAAGACTATCAAAATTAATAATGAAATTAATTAACTTTGTATCAAACATGTATTTGTTGTATCATATTCGGCGCCGTGTCTATAAAAAGTACCGAGATAAAAATAATTAGATAACATACCTTATTAATTATCAAGATTGCGATGTACTTGCCGAATTTTTTTTGTTTTTAGTTTTAGAATTTTAGAAAAAAAGAGCAAAATAGTTTTAGGTCTTTCTCGAATCGAAATCATAGATAATCGTGACTATAGGGGAATTTTCCGTAAAATTCCGGACATGGAAATTCAAAATAATATGTACCTAGTAAAAATATCGAGAAGAGGATGAGTCTTGTCCAGACCTTCGCTTTTCACTTTGTGAGTATCCCTTCCGACTACCCAGTTCGCGAGATACTCACATATGAAGTTTTTTTTTTGAAAAGTTGTCCTGAAAGGGATATTTCATGACTTGCAAAACTTTTAATAAAAAAGGTACCAAGATATCTACTACCACTAAAACAATATCATATCAAGTGGCTATTTAGAAAAAAAAACAGCTATATCGTACCAACTTTTACAGTTCATGAAAAATGGATTATGTGTCGTTTTCAAATTCATTCTTCATTCATTCGTATTTGAGGACTTTTTGCCTTCCGAGTCGATTAATTTTCATTTTTGCCCTTTGAAACCAAGAGTAATAAATTTTTTCAAAATTCATTCCAATTTTACATAAACCTTAAATTGCATTTCCCTTTCATATTTCAGTGTTGGGCTGAAAAACTAGATTTTGCATAGCGACGCAACGTTTTATTTCTTTTGCCGACACGAGGAGTGGTAAAAATTTTGTTCAATAAAAATTGTTTTACAAAATGATAACACAGGCATGCTTTTTTAAATTAACCTCATTCTTTTATTAATACTTTAATTAATGCAGCTGTGCTGCTGTGCATGTGAAGTGTTTGTACGGATTTTATCTCGGATTTTATGTTGGCAATAAGTGAATCCATGGTAAAAAAAAGGTTCAATTGACAAAATAGTAAGATTTGGTATTTTACGGAACTACCAAGTTCAGTATGGCGGGGCACATTGTAAAACCGTTCGCGTTATATCTCAACGAACTCTCAGTTGATACCAATTTTATTTGTTGGTACTAAACTAAATAATGAAGAAACAGAAGGGGGTGGCCCAATACCACGTTTAACTTCCATTTATATTTCCAGTGCGAAGCTTGGATCCAGCGAAGTTTCCATACCTGTTGATAGTAAAACCTTGCTAACTCAAAATGACGATTACAATCCATTCGAGCACAGAAACGTGGAGCACCCAAATTCGTAAGTACTTGCGCTACTTTTTCCCGATTTAAAGTCGTTCTTATTTTAGAACTGTTGGCGCTCTAATCCACTTACTCAAAAGTTCCTTGGGCACCGGAATTTTGGCGATGCCCGTGGCGTTCAGAAATGCTGGTTTACTTGGCGGAGCCATCGGTACATTTTGCGTGGGATTTTTATGCACATATTGCGTGCACATGTTAGTAAGTCTAAATGCATGATCAAAAACGTCAAAAGGTCTGAACGTCCGCATGTAGCGTGCACGATTACTCAAAAACACTTTGACATCAAATTTGGTACCTACCAAGATATGCTATGATAAAATCTTGGGCTTCGGAGTCAATCCCCACGGGGAAGAGTTAAAGGTCAAAGGTTTTTATCGACAACATGTGACATGGGTCGTTATACTTTCAGAATGCTCTTAAAAGAATCTAATCTAATTTTGATTTACTTTTGGAGTATACTAATTTGCGTATCTTTCAGGTAAGCGCATCTCATGAAATCTGCAAGCGTGCGCGACTTCCATCACTGGGCCTTGCAGAAACGTGTGGGGCAGCTTTTGAGTATGGTCCAAAGCCTTTGCGACGATTTGGCACAGCAGTAAGGTAAGCAAAAACTTACAATTTTTCAAAGATTAAAAAAAGAGATTGCGATATTCTGACCACGTCCATCGATCCTACTGATTGTATCACATTTAATTTTTAGCCCAAAACCTAGCCTAGTTTTCTAAAAATCGCGAATCCAAACTAGTTTTTTTGAAAATTTGGACGAAAACTTGATTGCTATATCAACGACTTCAATACGTTCGCCATACAGTTGGTATTTTTGTCGGACGGAGAATCATGCATCAGTTCTTACTCCACCATTAACTAAACCTGCAGCGATCGGAGGAATCATGTTTGTATTCTTTGTTTTCTTTCCTTTTACCACAACTAAGTAAGTAATGACATCTGATAGTGCAAAGGCCGAACCCTCTGACGCTAACGTGATTCGTTGTTGACTTTCCATTCCGTTTTTTAGGAACTGCATTAGTTTCTTAAACGTGATCTCTGAGGACGTCGAAGATCCGCCTGTCTCCGCAGAATTGTCACGCTCTATAGCTATAGAATCGTTAATACATGCAGCTAACGGAGAACGTTTCCAAATTCATAACAGTTCTTCGGGCAAACATGATTCAATTAGTGGAAATAACATGGACGCACACCCCTTTAGACGCAACCCCCAAAGTTTCTAACCCACGTAATTATGGCGATATGCCATAATATAAGATCGATCGATCTATGTTATTGCATTGAATAACAAATTGTATAGCGTATCAACTTTAAAAGTTCTAATGCATAGAATTGCAAGTTTTCTCCACCAAAGCGCGCTTTTAAACATTTAACAAGTTTTTGATAATGGTCCACTAGTAGAGAAACCCTCCACAAGTTGCCTGGCCTTACTGTATGATACCGTCATGGATTTTGCTAAACTGGGCCCAAAATGGAAGCCAGTCTTTACCGTTGCCATCGAAAGGTTTAAACTGTATAGTAGGCAGTTTAAACCTTCGCTTACAAAGGGGCAAAGCAATGTTGAATGTCCCAAATATCACCTTCACTCGGACCGTCCTACACTTCTTCAAGCGGCAAAAACAAACGGATTACAGAAATACAGAATACAGAAATATAAAACTATAAAACGAATTTATTTTGAACTCTTCAGTTCCAAGTATAAATGGGAAATTTAGTACCCGATACATGCTTCACTAATTCGTTCATTTTACTAGATGCCAGTCAAGTTTGTCGTTACCTTGCAAATGTCTGCAGGCGTTTTTTTTTTAGTAAAATACCTTCATGCACTTGCTTTGGGTTACATTCAGATGACCTTAAAGAAAACTTTGAAATACTTTTTCGCGTTTCAAAAAAATAACCGCGTTTTTAGGTTTGTAGTGCACTTTGAATGTGTAGGTGCTTTTTCAGTAAAATACCTTCATGCACTTGCTTTAGTTTATATTCAGACGACCTTAACCAAGACTTTCAAGTAATTTTTCGCGTTTCAAACAAATAACCGTGTTTTTACGTTTAAGACTTGTATTTCCTCGAAGGAGAAAAACTATGGTCTTAGTTTCTTTTGCTCGAGTAAAAATCTGTTTAGTAATTTAGTTGGCGGAACGGCTACATTTAAAACCCTTTACCTATCTACCAGAAGCGGGAAACGCATACAAGCAACCTTATAATAATATACTAATGCACATTTTCTGTTACAGAATTGCGGTAGATATCGGTTTGGTTATTACAACCTTCATGGTTACAGGCGTCTATGTCGTCTTTATGTCAAATTCCCTTCAGCAGGTAAGTTTCCTTGATAGATGCTCTGAAGAGTACGAAAACGATTAATTGCTTTGAATTTTTAACAATTTTTACAATCGATTTTGTCAAAAATATGAACACAGTTATCGAATGTTATAAACAATACGTTAACAAAATCGTGTTTTTGAAATTTCAGCTCATGGAACATTGGGTGCCAGGAACAGCGTACAACGCAAGGTTGTACATGGTGATGCTAATGTTGCCACTAATGATATCATCACAAGTGAGGGAACTAAAACACTTAGTACCTTATTCGTTCCTGGCTAACATTTGTATGGTTACGTCCTTTGCAATTTCGCTGTATTACCTATTCATGGATATACCCGATCCGTCCAGTAGGCCGCTGTTTTCATCGATCGGCAACCTGCCACTATTTTTCAGTACAGTGCTTTTTGCTATGGAAGGTATTGGAGTGGTGATGCCTGTCGAGAATACTATGAAGAAGCCTCAACACTTTCTTGGATGTCCGGGTGTATTAAACGGTACTATGGGTATCGTGGTTGTCTTATATGCAATGATCGGCTTTTTTGGATATTTAAAGTACGGAGATGCAACCGAAGGCACGATTACCTTAAATTTTCCCGTTCACGAAATGTAAGTTCGTGTGAATTAATTGCGTGGAGCTAATGAGACTCTTTTCAGACCGGCCCAAATACTTAAGCTGCTGATCGTGTTGTCCGTATTTTTCACTTATAACCTGCAATTGTATGTGGCGCTAGAAATCATCTGGAAGAAAGTTGATCATCGAATCGTTGGACGAACTAAGAGAAATGTCTCGCAGGTTATCGCTCGATGCGTATATGTGGCCGGAACGGTTGCAATCGCTGCTGCCGTTCCCAATTTGGAGCACATAATAGGACTAGTGGGTTCCATTTGTTTGTCAATTCTTGGAGTTTTATTGCCGGCCATTATTGAAACGGTTGTATATTGGGAGCATGGTTTTGGATGCCTAAAATGGAGGCTGATTAAAAATATTTTTCTGGCAGTATTAGCTCTATTTGCTTTAGTTTCGGGGTCTATGGAAAGCATTAGAGCACTATTTTAATTCCAAATCAAAGGTAGTTCTAGCTACCTATTTTACTGTGACGGCGAATGTATTGGTTGTTCAATGTCGACTATGCCTGCATCAATTTTTGGGTTTTGTGGAAAAAAGAAACAAAACAACTCACAAATTATTACAGGTATATGGCAGCTTTACATTCAATAACAGCGTAATATATGTAGATAACGAAAATCTGTGATTCACTCAGTAAGATATTATTTATTATGTACCGACTTACTTAAGAATAAATGAAAATTATGAAATTTGAATATTATTGTGTCGTTTGTTTAGAATATTAAATGAATGAAAAATCTCTTCCTTATTTACTACTAAGCGTGGCTTAAGCTGGATTCCTACAGACAAGTGGAAGTGTTAGTTGTAAGTTAAGGGTAAGGGTAAAATGTGTATCTGTTATGTTCAATTGTAAACGAATCTATTACTGGACTCTATAGAGCACTAAATGATATAAAGATATATATGCCTGCAAAACGAAGGTGTCAATTTATTACTAAATTTACATATCTATTTATATTTTCCAAGCAAGAAAATTTTCAATGGTAGTTCAAGCATACCAGGAGTATTATACCATAGGACTCTACTTCCAGGAACCTTGAAGAAATTGTTAAAGAGTTTGAGTACCTAAGCATATCTGTCATTCTATCATAAAGTCATTAGCAATTGATTACATTAAGAATACCGTGATCCAGAGAATAGGAAAACCTAGCCTGATGGCTGGTTTCCATTACATTTTCCTGTAAAAAAAAATTCCTCTTAAATATCTCTGTAAGCTATACATGTGAGACCTACCCTGTCAGTTGATTAGGTTATTAAAAAAGCACAAAAATTGCATAAATGCGGGTTAATTTAAATATAGATGGAAGTATCTATAAATAACTAAATCGTGCCAATGCATCTTTTAAAAACATTAATTGACCTTTTAGAGTTAATAACTCGCATTTATGTAGCTTATTGTATACGAAAATGTAAAGTAAACACCCCGAATTTTCTATTGATTGCATTTTCCTGAATTTTATAAAAGCTATAACAATAAAATACTTATGTACAAGACATTGATTTTTTCTTGTTTCTTCTTTATTAGTTTCATTACACAACCGAAATATATCTCTATACCTACGGTTCGGTACGGTCGTGTTCTAAAAATCCTCTTAATGGTGACGACAAATTTAATAATCTAAGTAATTATAATGGTGAACACAAGATCGTTAACTGACGCAACTACTACAGCAGTGACTGCTTCTGTTGAGCAGCTCAAAGAACTCATCCGAGAGGCAGTTTCTGAAAAAACGTCGGAGTTAGTGACCATCATAGAAGAATTACGGAAAGAAGTGGATGTATTAAAATCCAGTAATATTGACTTGATAATGTTATTATCAGCAAACGCGGGAAAGAACAATGTGCTAACTGTAAGTAAAGCTAAGCCAGAAAAAGTGGCTCTTAAATTTAAACAACGAAGTGAAAGTGTTCCTAGTGACAACGAAATTGCGACTAACAGTACAACAGCTTGCGATAAACTATCTAAGGTCGGTACAAGTGCAACAGGCACAGATAAAAGTCGCTCCGTATCTAAATCGACAAATAAAAATAATAACAACAAGGCCCACAACAACGTGGTTATCGGAAAAGCTGAAACTTGTGCTTCTATTGCGGGCTTTACCGCAATTCAAAAGCGCGCTTGGGTTTATGTAGGTAGGGTAGCTTCTGCAACAGAAGCAGCACAAATTAGAGATTATTTGATGCAAAAATATGCAAAAAATAATTTTGATGTCGACCAGCTACCGAAACGAGATGACGCTCGCAGTGTTGCTTTTCGAATCGGTGCGGACCTGGATTTAATGGACGAGCTGTATAAAGCAGAAAATTGGCCCAGCGGCGTAATAATTAAACAATTCCGATTTTTTCGGAAGTCTCAACCGGGACAATTTTAAACCAACTACTAACTTTAGAAACAGGGGGGACTACTCTATAAACCTTTTCTACACCAACATTCAGTGTATTAGGAATAAAATTAATATTCTAGAATCTTATTTATGTGACAAAAACTATGATATTCTTTGTTTTACCGAACATTGGCTAACGAAAAATGAAGTGGTGCACTCGCTGATAGACAATTATGTAGTTTCATCTATATATACACGACAAAGCCACATACATGGTGGCACAATAATCATGCTGAAGAATAATATTGACTATACTGATCTAAATTGGGTAAGTGAGCTATCTGTGGACATGCACGGCGAAGTGTCCGCCATACAGCTTCTTAAACACAATCTATATTTGTTATGTGTATATAGATCTCCGAATGGAGATATACAAACTTTCATGCAAATACTTCAAAAGGTAATTGATAAAATTAACTGTCAAAACAAAATAGTTATCTGTGGTGATTTTAACTGTCAGTTTGATAAAAAAGACAAAAATTGTGATATGTTGTGTGACTTAATGGCCGCACTAGGTTTTTCTTACATTATTCATACTAATACAAGGAAATCAAACTGTATCGATAATGTGTTTGTAAATTATAACTTAGACCTGTTTAAGTCAGAAGTAACTACGTTAAGTATATCAGATCATAATCAAATTATTATAAAAATTCCGGTGGAGAAGGATGAAAAAGCCAAGAAATGGAAGACAATACGTCCATTTACCAATAATGGCAAGCTTGCCTTTTATAATGCAATTCTTAATTTAATTGGGAGTTCATTAACGACAATGAGTGTCAGGGTGTTGATAACACATTTAATATTTTCCATGATAAATTTATATCCTGCAGGAATACCTGCTTCCCTGAGAGGAAAGTGAAAGACAATAGAGACCATAACCACAAAAACTGGTTTAATAATGATGTAAAGCAAATGAGAAACACTTACCAGTTATTAAGTGACATTTATAGAATTACACCCACTTCCGAAAATAAAAATGCATTGAGAATATGTAGATCGCAATACAATAAACTTATCAAAAATGCTAAAAGGACATTTTATGATGAGATTATACGAAAAGCAAAAAACTCAACTAAAACAATGTGGAATATAGTTAACAATAAAAGAAAGGTAAAAAAATGTAGTGCTTTAAATCTTAACCCAAATAAAGTAAACACGTTTTTTACCACGAATATCCAAAAATTATCGAATACCAGGAATAACGATGGAAATCCACAAAACTCATATCTAAGTAATATACACACTGGTACCTTACCGATATTCTCATTTGAACCAATCTCTTGTACTAAAGTTAGAGATATTATTACATCATTATCAAACACACACAGCCAAGACACCTATGGTCTAAATATTCAATTAATCAAGCTTGTTATTGATATAATTATAATACCATTAACAAAATTACTGAATATGAGCCTACGGGAAGCAAAGTTTCCAAGTGCCTTAAAACAAGCCCTGATTGTACCAATACACAAGAAGGGCAATAAGAACGATTTAAATAATTACAGGCCAGTAGCACTTCTGCCAGTCTTTTCTAAGATATTTGAAAAAGCGCTTTGCTTACAAATAGCCGAATTTTTTGAAATTAATAATATTCTTAACAGTAAACAATATGGTTTTAGAAAACAATATAGTACACAAAGTGCTATTATTGATTTTACTGAAAATGCTTTACGTTGCTTTGAGGAGGGAAATACATGGTGTCTACTTTTTGCGACTTGAGTAAGGCATTTGATAGTGTCAAGCATGAAATCTTAACAGAAACTCAAAATACAATTTTGACGGTAAAAGTATAGGCTAATACAATCCTATCTCGAAGGTAGATCACAGTCTGTCAAAATTAATGGACAAAAATCAGACTCTTTGAGGATCAATGTGGGTGTTCCTCAGGGGCGTTTTGGGCCCTATCCTTTTTTTAATTTACCTAAACGACCTTTCTCTTAATGTAAATGCTGATTTCAGATTTTATGCTGATGAATACCACAATAAGCTGCGAAGGTTATATACTGGAGCACACGTTAGAAACAAATAACATATTGCTCGAAAAAACTGAAAAATGGTTTAACGCGAATCAACTGTCCCTCAACATGGCAAAAAACGTACACCTTGATAAATTCCTTGCGCCCATAACACGCAGTACAGACACACATAGCGTACAATTTTTAGGTGTTACTATCGACGCACATTTAAAATGGATCACCAAGTTAATACAGTGGCCCAAAAACTAGCCAAAAATATATATATCTTAAAAGTGTTGCAACATGAGGTATCTAGTAATGTACTGCAATCTGTTTATTTTGCTCTCTGTCATTTTGTAATGTCTTATTCTGTACTGGCATGGGGTCACGCAGCAGATAGTCATAGGGTATTTAGTCTACAGAGAAGAGCGGTAAGAATTCTAGGTCATGTCGGATACAGAGATAACTGTAGAGATTTGTTTAAAAAATTCGAAATCCTTACTTTTCCGTCACTATATATTTTAGAATGCGTTCTATATGTACATACCAGGAAAGACCAGTACTTACAACATAGAGATCTACCCTCTCATGACACCCGATCAAAAAATAAGTTGTACACAAACCAATACCGACTAACAAGAACCCTAAACAGTCATTGTCGGCAATCTATTAATTATTATAATCATCTTCCCGACAAAATAACAACTTTGAAGTATGATAACTTCAAACGTACAGTAAAGAAGTGGCTAATCGGAAAAGCATTTTTCTCTACCAGAGAATTTTTAGAGTCTAAATGTTTTGTTTAAGTGTGTTATCTCTTGCTTATTGTGACGTGTGTAAATACTTTATGTGTATTCAACACAAATAAAAAATATGAAATATGAAATATAAACTAAGTAAAAGATTATGTGCTGTGGTGAGTCTGAGGGTAATGCATCAATTAATTTACCCCTCAGTTTTTCTTAGACTCAGACGTCCTAGATAATAGTGCAGGTTGGGCTTTTAAAGCTAAATAATCTTATTCATTCATCTACAGTTATTTTATTTGAAACCGTATAGAGACAAGCTAAAGATATTACTGTGTGCAATTGGCTGCGGTTAACTAAACCACCCACAAAACACCTGTCCAGCTAACTCAAATAAATCAAAAATTTAAACTTAGAACTCGTACACCTACAGCATTCGCTACAAAACAAAATCCTAATAATGACTCGAAAAGAATTACTCAGTAGCCAACCGAAAATTACAAATACTCAATTATACAAACACCTGAGATAAATCGGAAATAGAATAAAATGAGAACTCTATCTGGGTTGTGTAATGGATTCAAATAAACACACAATTAATTGACCGACAATGACAAAAATTGCTATTCCGAAACATACGCTTTAAGTCATAAAGAAATGACGTGAAATAAAGAGGCACAAGTCCGTTTTTATATTTCCCACCGGCACGTGGTCGACACAAATAAACAAAGAAAGTCTTGAAATCACTTACAATTTTCCTCTTGAAAATCCAATTAATCTTTCAAAACATCGGTTCTTGCGAGATTCAGGCGCATGTAGCACTAACACGAAAACACTCATTGACAGTACGTTTGATGAAGTTTTCCATTATTTATATATTATTATGTGTTTGCCAATATATAAAATGTATTTGTTTTCTCTATATGCGATCGATTTCGGTATTTACCATTCTCAGGCTTGCGTCAATTGTGTTTAATATTATATCAGATGGAATGGTGATGCAGGGAGTAGATATTTGTTGGAATCTGTGCGTTTTGTGTGATGTGTAGTGTTTATTTTGAATTATTTCGTGGTTATAATTGACACTCATTGACAGCTTCAGGAAATCTCATTTCTTTGCTGTCACACTGCACTCAATCCCTCTTTCTTGTAGCTATTCAGACGGGAAACACTTCAAATATTTTTGTTGATAAATAACGTTTTAAAACGGTTTCATTATGCATTACAACTGCGTTTCCAAAAGCAAAGAACCTTCTTCCGTTAACGGACCAACAGCATTAAACTTTGTACCTACAAAATTAACTTAACTGCATCTGCACAGATTATTTTGATTAAACCCCGCGTGCAGGAGTAAGAATTCGTTAAGCCGAGTGTGAGCAAGAGGCGAAGAGTGCGCTTTCAAATTTGTTTTTTCGATTTTAATAGCTCTTATGGACATTTTCATGTCTTAACGAGAACACAAACATGAAATAATTTTTAATTTTTGATCGAACGACACCAATTTCAAGTCTGTAAATGGTGTAGTTCCGGAGCCTTTGTGACTCAGACAGACATATAAGGAACTTTATTTTTTGAAAGTGAAAGTGCACTAAAAATATAGAACACATCGGCACAATCTCAATAAACGGAAATTTCACAGTTTAAAAGAATAGTAAGTCCGAGAGTAGGTAAGTGTTTCAAAAAGGAGCTATAGTGAATTTAAATTTAATATAGGGAATTTAAAATAACAAATAAAAATTACCTCGGAAAAGTGCGTTCGGGAACAGGCACGGTTGTTACAAAGAAAACGTGTTGCTGCTAGCAACCCGTCTAATATAAAAATGTTATCTTTATATAAAACGTATCCGGACACGTATAAAATTAAATTTGCTACCAAACAATTACGCGTTTAGCTAACCCCAGTTTCCAGTGTGGTAGCTCTGAACTTCTTCACTTTGTAATGGGCCAGTGTTTACCTAACAGTTAGCTAAAATCAGCGAAATGGGCATTTTGCATAATTCTCATCTTTAAACGTGCCTTTTAAGGTGCTCAACATTAAATAAATTACGTTTAAAGGATTACCTTAACTTTTTCACACCCATCAACGTAACTGCCACGTTCATCCCTTTGAAATTTAAGACAAACCTAGTTAAACGCCGTGACCTGAATTACTAATTACAAAGATGAAAGGCTGAAGTTAGTACGCGCACTGTATTAAATTGTTTAATTTGCACGAAAGATGTAGAAAATTTTTTCCTGATACATAAGCCCGTTGAGGGAAGGCGTGGTGCTTGTTAAAAATTACCCGATCTACTTGGGGTAATTAAATTTGCAGGTTACTAATGGTATGGTATCTCTATAATCCAGTGTGCTCAAGGACAAAGTACTTAGCTAACTGCAAATGTTTGTTTTCAAGATCTACAAAGCTTAGCTATAATACTCTACGAACACAGATTCCTCGTTTACAATGCACCTTACTTTTACACTCTTATGTGTACTGGAAAAGGTACAAACTTGTCATACTTAAATTATACCTATTTTGATTCGATTAGACAGTTTTTAATTAAATACGAGGTCAGATCAGCTTATATTAGATGTAGAAACTTATACAAAGAGTCCCAACATTTAGTCTTCATAAATTGACTGGTCTTTTTTGTCATGGAAAACGACTTATGAAAGAAAATGTGAACATCTAAGTTAGTAAATAAGAGCAGACAGTGGAAAACCCACAAGGGGCATATATACTTAAACCGAAACGAATTCCTAAGGAGAGCAATAAACACACCGTCAATTCTACGAGTATACGTCACGTTTTTCGCCAAAATAAAGCGCTCTGAAATAAATGAATCGCTCTGAGTTACGCAGATAATGATGATTAAAGTTTAAAGTTAATGCAGTTACACCTACCTTCAAATTTCCTGGAGCTTCCCTTCTACCGCTTCCTTCGAAATAAATTTAAAATGATCCCGGTAATATCCATAGCTCAATAGCGTAAAGTCTTCAAACGTAGATCCACTAATTGGAATTTGCACTAATTTTAACAAAAAGAAGCTTACAGTTACGCTAATTAATATTAATAACTTACAATTACATTAGGCCATTCAATTTCTAATTTTTCTCCCACAATCGCGTGCAGAGAACTTCGAGCGGACGCGCGTTCCCAATAGAGTCATGCATTTACATCGCGAACGATGGGAAAGCTCCAGCTTTCTCATCTAAAATTTGGGGTGGTTGCTATTTTCATTTGATCCCAGTGAATCCAGTCGCATGCGCAATAAATAACTTCATTTTAGATTATTTTATGACGGCTCCCGAACGACACATTTGGAAAGGCGAAATTTTACAAATGGACCTTAGCTGTACAATTTATGGGGAAAAATAAATAATTTGGGGGCTACAGTTAACTTTAATTTCGGCGAAGCAGGGAAGTCGGAAAATTTTAAGTACTGAGTATTACGATCGTTAGATGGCGAACAGAGTTTTCCAAAGGGAACGCTCCATATACTATATAGGCAACTATTTTACAAATTGTGAGAATTACAGAAAAGTACTACAAATTAGTTGCAAGATGTTTATCATCCCTTGTAAGATGACGATAAACTAATTCTGCGTACAGTGTGCGACACAGTATCAGCAAGATTAGCGAAGCACAGTACTCAAATGATACGTACCTACTATTAGGAGAAACAGAAAACTGACAAAATGAGAGTAGAGAGTGAGGTAATTTAAAAACAAGCTAAATTGTAACTTTATTTTTGATTTAGATTGATGTGACTATCCGAAACTGACAAACAAAGAAGTTTATGTTATATGCAGAAAGAATAGATACACAACTAACTATAACTCAATTTAAATTTTATTACAACCTAAATGGCACTTGTTACAAAGACTAAGGACTAGGAGTCAGGATTACGAGCGTACAAAAGAAGTCATACAGGAGACAAATAAAACGAAATGATAGCTATGGTTGGGTAACTATTTATTTCTATGTATGATGAACAAAAATTGCGAAGAATAAGCAGGAATGACAAACCACGAAAAATGGACAAACAATATAAATCAATGAAAATACACATCGCAGAGAGTATTGACTATCAGATCAAAAAAATCGACATTATACTAGAAATACTTTAACTTTAACTGACTCTGTACACAGAACAGCATTATGTTGCCAATTTCTAGTGTTTTTAAAGTAGTTTGCTACCAATCCACGTATTTTTAATTTGTTATCAGTGGAGTACTTCTAGTCAAGGTGCGATTTTTTAATTGCAACTACTAGTTTCGTTAACTATTATTAAAGAGTACTTTTAACAGTCTTTTTAAGAGAAGAACTCAAATTAAGGAAAAAAGTTATGATAATTAATTTTATAATTTTACTATAGTTTGATCATGTTTTATGTTGCCATATTAAAAAAAGTCCATTTTTTGATAATACCTCCCGAGAAATAGTGCATTACATTAAAAACGTGATCCTTTTAGTTCTGTAGACGCAAGCCAATGTAAATAATTTTTAAGCATGTATATTTATTTAAATATTTTAATGATTTTTGATACAGTAAATTAAGATTATAATTCGTTTATTTCATCGCAAACTAGTAAAAGTATATAATTAATTAAATTTAAGCAATAAAACATTTTCCTCCGCCCGGGTGGTTACCCAGGGACCCTTGAGATGGGCAGTCCATTTAAGACTGCAGAACCAAACGGGATATTTCCGGGTCTTCTGCAGAATGACATGGAAGTATGGAACCGCTGTTACACCTTCTTAGAACATCCCTGGCTTTAGGGTATATCCCAGAAAGCTGCAGAAAGATAAGAGTTGCGTACTTACCTAAGCCGGGTCGTGTCAAACATGGCATCCGCATATCATCGTTTCTTCTAAAAACGGTAGAGAAGCTAGTGGGTGCATACGAAAGGAATGAGGCACTGGTTTAGACCACTACCTACATCAGGGCGCGGTTAACAGCGCCACGTTCGATTCCATAGTGAGGCTGCTGAAGGCTTTGGCATCAATTTTAAGATGGATCTGCCCCTTGCTTGGAAGCAGGGTCATTAGATCCTCAATCGGGAAGACGAAGATTAGCTCCTTGGTCATCACAGGATGTCCGCAGAGTGGAGTGTTGTCTCCAATGCTGTGGCACCTGGTGCTTGATAGGCTCCTCCGCACTTTGAACAAGGTTGGAGCGTATACCAGTACACATGAATACGCAGACACGACCTGCCGATCGTCATAACCGGACAAAGAATGAAGAATGAACCGGGCATTGATGGTCTCAAGCTTCGAGGGTGCTAACTGGGTCTGTAGTAATATAAGGCCAATAATACTGCTAATAATACTATACTGGTGGCCTGCCATACGTAGCCCAACCTACATGTAGCAGCTAACTAGGCTTCGGAGATTGGCCTGTCAGAGGGTCATGAATACCGCGGCAACTTTTGCCATGGCAATTTTGGAACTAGAGCCTTTACACAGCTGAGGAAGGTATATATACAAAAATGATCCCTTCCTGGAACTACCGGATAAACCACAAGTAATTTTTATAAACCTCAGAATTTGAAATATTAACACCTTATATTTCAGATTCTGGATTTTGAATCTGGCATCTTGGATACTCAATTACAAACCAAATGCCGACCTCCTGAACCTACCTACTGATTGGGCTCTGCATCTTGATCGAACTTAACAGGCCTGACATCCGAAGGTTATCCTGTGGACTTTATTATCTATTATATATGTAAAATAATTAAATAAATAAAAAACAACGATAAATGATTTACAGGTCATAGGTCGTCTCTCAAAAGAATTAAGAGTCACGCCACACGCAGAAGTGAAGGGTATAAATTGCTCGGGTTCAGATCGCACCAATGACCAATCGAATGATGCCATCCTGCGGTCCGCGCGTTGTGATAGTAGGTGCGGGAGTCGCCGGAATCGCTGCCGCCTCCCGTCTAATCGAGAACGGGTTCGCAAACTGCATCATTTTGGAAGCAGAAGATCGAGTTGGCGGTCGAATCTGTACGAGACGTCTGGGCGATGGAGTGGTGGATTTGGGGGCACAGTACTGTCGTAAGGATAGCATCGTGTACCATTTAGTGAAGGATTTCGACCTGTTGGAAGTAAGGAACGTCTCCACTCACGTGTACCACTCCCAAAACGGACGTTTGGAAGACAGCTTTGTAAATAAGTTGCTGGATAAGGTCTCCGATTTGTATCACGGAGGACCGGTGCAGAACGTCGAATGGAAACAGTACCTCGAGGAACGGTATGTTATTTCGTGACGCGTGTGCGCTGGCTATCTTTTGTTTTAGGTTCGACGATGAGATCGTAGACCTTTTTCATGATGAGCGCCAACGGTTACTCGCGAGAGACAACATGGACTTTGTGAAGAAGCAGGTTTTACTCTGTACTGGATCGATTTGCCTGAATGGAGTGTACGGAGCGACCAGTGGAGAGTTCCCCCCTGATTTCAGATGCGTATGGAAATCGCACGGGTACCAAGCGCTCTTAGATATTCTAATGAAGAAGCACCTCAAAACTAAAAGCGCTCTTCAATATGAGCAAAAGGTCATTTTAAACAGCGAGGTTACAAAAATTGAGTGGGGAGAAGAAGATGGGGCAAAAGTAATTTGTGCTAATGGTTTGTACTATTTAGCAGATTATGTAATTGTAACCGTGCCCTTGGGCGCCTTGAAGAGACAACATAGCACACTTTTTTCACCTGCTCTCCCGAAGACGAAACAAAAGGTCATTGAGTTATTGGGATTTGGCTCCATACTGAAGGTGTGCTTTCACTTTTCCACAAAATGGTGGTCCGACAACGACTTCGCTTTCGCATGGGGCGAGGAAGACTTGAAGACCGCTCTAATAAAGGTAAGGCTACGTTTCAGAATCTTTCTTCTACCACTTCCCATAGAGCGAGCACCCTTGGATGACGAACTGCATGGGATTTTACTTGGTTCCTAATAACCCCAACGTTTTAATGGCATGGTTTGTGGGAAACTACATTTCAACCTTAGAGTCCATCAGTGATGACGTTTTGTTGGACGGGGCTCACATGGTTTTACAAAGATTCCTTGGAAGAACCTTTCAAAACATCACGAAACCAATTAAGCTGGAGCGGTAAGCATAGCCAGAATTCCGAAATGGTATGACTTAAGCTGGTTTGCTACAGCAATCGGTGGTGCACAAACCCCCATTTTGGTGGAATGGTTTCTTATGAAACCTTGCAGAGTAAAAGGCACGGACTGACCGGCGAAACTTTAGCAGAATCAGTTGATTCTAAGGTTGGCATACCTCAACTGCTGTTTGGCGGAGAGGCGACAATGAAGGTCGGTTATGGTTCCGTTAACGGTGCCGTTATGTCCGGTTTTAGAGAGGCAGATAGAATTATAAACTATTGTAGAGGTAACAAATGAACACGTTTTACTAATAAACGGTTTAAAAAAATCTCGCATTTTTTATTTCCCGTTTTTTTTGAATCCTTGAATTGGTGATTAATAATTCCGAAACGTTCCCTGTCATCGCCTGTCCTAGTGCTCTTCCTCCACTACGTTCGATCTTGTGCCTTTTCCTTCATCGCTACGTTACTACGTTTTCTTCCTTTGACGTCGCCTATCATCTTCCTCCCTCTCCCTAGTAAGTACTACCTCTTCTGTGCACAGTTTGTTTCATCACGTGTCTTCGTTTTTTTCTCAACCCGGCCAATTTCATTTTCTTTTGGTAATGGTGTCCATGATTCTCCTTTCTCCAACTTTTTCTGGTATTACCTCTTCAATTGATCTCCAAAATCCTCTTTCGTGCCCACATTTGCAACACTTTTATTTTTTTGTTCATGCTTCTCAAGTATATATCGTAAAACGATTTAAAATGTGCCCTTGCTTAATAATTTAATTTAATTTACCCTACTGATGTTAAAGGTATGAATGGGAATGTATGTGCGCTAAAAGAAAATGAGAAAACCTTTTTTTAGTTTGTACGGACTGGCAGCCTCTTTCGTTAAACAAATTCCACAAGTATGGTTGATGGTTCAGCCCAATCTCAAATTTTAAGCTGCTGTTAGTATGGTACTCTTTTTGTAGATAACTTTACGATCAATCGCAGATTTTCCTCTACTGCTGTTAAACAAATTCGTACACATTTCTTAATCGAATCGTATCAACATTAAAAAGATTAGAGGAGCTAAAACAAAATATTTTTAGCACCATCTGCATATCAAAGAATATAAATAAACTGCAGTATTAAAAAGATTAATTACACAACATAAATAAATAATTTTACAATTAAAAAGTTAATCGTATCTAAGTTCTCGAGGTTACGGGGTTCAAGAACAATCTAAAGTGCCGCAATTTTTTTTAATAAAATAAGATAACAAAAGGTTTTTTTTCTTAATTTCATGAATTTATTAAATAGTCGGCAAAAAAGCACGTGCGAACAAAAGCACAAGGAAAACACTTGTAAGCTGTGAGAACAACTGATTTTTGTAAAAATGCAGAGAAAGTATGCAAAAGCGTAATAATTTCCGCAATGCTAGAGAAGTAATAACTTTTTGAGTGAAAACTGCCGCACAAGGGCGATCTGACGAAAACAATTATTGAATGCTCGTTACGGTAATAAGTCAAGAAAAGTACAGAATTGTTTAGAAGAATTGTACATCAGGGACAATGAAAGCGATCCAGGATCCTGAAGCAACGATAGACAGTAAGTTAAAAAATTATTGTTTAAGAAACAACGTGCTTTGAAAGGTATATCTATGGGGAGTGGAGGATGCATATTATAATTTTAATGTGGGGGAACTGAGATTTTTTGACCTAATTATTTGTTTTCATCCATTTAACGCACTAACATCTATCACACGAAAAAAATGTAATTTTCTACGAGATCCATGGTGTATTATACACCAGGAGGAGGTCTAATTCCTCTAACGAACGCAACATTTTGCATACAATACAAATTAAGTTAAAAATTAAAACATACACTATCATAGTATAACTCTTTTATTGCACTTTATAATGATATATTTGAGATACAGAGGATATATCCACGAAAGTTGTTTCCACTGGGACTTAGCAGAAAACTCATTTAGTAAAACCTTTACCGGTCATTAATAATACCAAAGCGAACTTTTTAATATTGTTATTATTGAGTTAAGCATGGTCATGCAGGTATTAAAGTTAGAAGATTAATGCTACTACATTGTAAATTTACGTAGGCGCCGACATTTAAAATATTGAAATTGATTAAAAATTAATTTTTAGTCTGTTGCAACACGATTGGTGTATTATTTGGGAGCCCTATACCAATCGCAGGTAGTGAATTAATGCCCCTGCATTATTAGTAATAATGAATAAGAATAATACGTACACACTGACAAATATGCTACAGTCTGATTCAGTACAGTTGTTTTCTGTAGCAATCCTCATATAAATGTCAAAATCTTCAAGGAAGGACCAAGTTTTATAAGAAATGATGTCACTAAGAGGTTGATTGAAAGCACGTCGTATTGCTGATTTATTTAACACACTTTTAGACTTACTGAATTGGTCTTTCGAAAGACATATTGAAGTTTTTCATCCTTATATATCAGTATCTTCTCTCTAAAGAAAAGGTCGTTGTGGAACGCCTTCAGACTCTGAATAATTACAATGAAAGTACAAAGGAGATACGTAAGAGAATCTTTTGCAAACAATTTGTTCACTTAAGTGGCCAGTGGCCTTATTAATCTCGCTAAAGTAAATATCATAAATTGCCAGCCAGCTGTCATTGCAACGTATCCAAACTCGAAAATTAGCGAAAAGTTGTGTACTTTATGTTAACTCAAAGGCGAAGATAATCAATAGGTGAACGATGTAAAGAGCACGTTCAATCATCAACCCACTTGACTGTGCATGAAATTTGTATTTAACAAGGGTTTTAAGATAATGCTTTGAATATCAACTTACATTCAAAGGACGAAGGTAGAACGATTTATTTGGTTACGTCACTTTTTCAGATGTCACGTTTCTTATAACGGGAGTTTTACACGAAATCATCAATTTTGGCACAACATCCGTAAGACCGTAATTAAGTCTTTATAAAATAACATTAGAATAATAATTCTCATAAAATATAATAAATCGATACAGCTGAGTATCGAAGGACCTCACAGTTACACGGAATTTTGATGAGCCTTAACCTTTTACCCTAAATTTTCCCTGGTCCAAGAAGCCAGGAGCTTCCATTCAAAGGTTATCACACAGACAGATGGCTTGGTGGAAGGACAGATGGACGGATACTAAATATTTCAAGAAGGACCATTCCAGTCGTTCATAATTTTTAAAAGATCAATTAGGTACGTTAAAAAACAACATTTTCCGAAACCACACTTGACGAATTCATAAAAGTATTACCGAGCTGGAAAGGGTTACACCTGCAACACGAGAATGAGTCGTGAATATAATGGTGGGCATTTTCAACAATCGTCATAGTCGATTTAGTACGGTCAAATTAAACGCAAAAATGCTAAATGGTTACAAAAGGTCCGGTAGAAGATTTGATCTTTCCGCCTTCTGTGGTCAAAAATCAACAAAAACGTTGACTTTTCTACGGTTTTCTAAAAAAAGTCGCCAAAGGCAATGCTTAGGTAACATTATGTTTTATTCACAATTGTGGAGTGTAAAATCATTTGATATTCTATTTGGTCCTTGGGCATCTATAGTTTAGGAGATATATGATTTTCAAGTTTCGTGTTTTTATCAATTCTTGAAAAGATAGGACGTTTATGAGGGTTTAAATCTAAACTGTTTGTATAGATACGAGCTCCCAACGAAATAGGTGACAAGAAAAGACGTGGTGATCGGTGTGATTGTTTCGTTTCGTTTGAATATGTATTTCAGTTTTTTTTTTTTTGCTTTAAGAAATTAGATGCGTAATTTTCGTTTTAATTTTATCGCTTCTGTAAATTGGTCAATTTAGATAAGGTGCTAGAAGTTGTTAGAAGTAAGGAACATCTGGTCGTATTTTGGGTGAGTTATAAAAGGTTATATCTGGATTTTTGTTTACGAAATCTAAAGCAAAGAGATTATTTTTATGGTGGAAGTGGTGGAGCCAGTGGTGAAAGCAAACTTTGGATCATGGCAGCGTTTTGCCGAGTCTATCATGTCGGCTAACCGCATATCCTCTCAAAAGAAAGCTCCCTTCGACCCTTGTACCAATGTCCGCGATTTTCAATATCTCGACGACGATCCGACATGCGTTCCCAACAATTCAACTTAGAATCCAGACAAACTTGGGAGGTAGGCAAGATATCCTTGCACAAGCGCCAAGAATCCCCAAAAACATATCGGCTTATGCTGAGGCTCTTGACCATTCAGCTTGCAGACTCATATTATCACTCGACTTCATTTCAATTTAGGTCTAATCTGTGTGATTACAGCGTATTAGTTTTTGAAATAAGGTGCGTATAGGTACACGTTAGAATGTAGATTATAGAAGTTCCTAAAAGTTTTTCTCCCCAAATCCAATTTACAAGTATAATTATGTGTAATTAAGTTGATACCGACGAAGACAACTTAATTTACTCAGTAAATAGAAGTATACCCGTTTAATCATCTTGTGATGTTTGCAGTACGCGGACTTTCGTGTGGCCTGAGAAAAACTCAATACTTCAGTAGCCTAGAGTTTTTCTACCATACACGACGAATTCTGTCTGATACTAGTATATTTTTGTAACCTATTTTGTGTATAATTTTTAATAAGGGCTGGATTAAAACACGCTTTGTGGGATATTACGATATAAAAAACAACCGCAGTTTATCCTTTAAATTGCTACTTTACGTCAAAAATTAATTTAAGCCTTCAAAGTGCATACCGCTACGAAAAATATTAAACACATCCACTAAACTATGTATGAATATGAAATGAATGAGTTTTTAACTATTCAGAGTAGCTTTTGAAAGTTTAAAAAGTGTACATGAAAGAGGTTAAGGACGTCGAGCTGTTATTCAATATGTTGGAGGTTGCAGCGCTCTCTGCTCTTAACATAATCAACGTCATGTTCACAGAAATGCTTCAGAAACTTTTAAATTATTAATCAGTTTAGTGTTACTGCCTGTGGAATTTAAATTCGGTGTAAACAATTCACATTGGCTCAAGGGTGAATCAAAATAAAGCAGTGGGAGAGGTAAGAAGTTAACAGAGCGGCTTCACTGTGGATGCGCGTTAGAAAATACTGTACCTCAATTCCCTGAAACCGAATTCTGTAGATTGACTTCGCTCTTTGATTCATAACCTAATTATTTTGTTTATCTACTGCTACCTTCAGCTTCCAACGCAATTTATTAGGAAAATATTTTACAGATTGTAGGTAATTGTATATAAAAGTTTTTTTTCACCTATAAGACTGACAATAATAAAAATGTTTATTCAATAAATGTCCTCTTCGTGTCTTGCGAGAAGTTTTACTTTTTCAA